AAATCAATTAGTCTAACATCATTAATTATATACAAAATTTATAATGTCATACACACACAACAAAGAAAACAGATTAAATCTAAAGAAAATATAACTAGAAAAAAAAACCACGCGGACCAGACAGCAGACGGGACTTGAACCCGCACCCTTCGCAATCCGGGCGAATGCACTGACCAATTATGCTATCGCGGCCCTCACGGACCGCGTCAAAAATTCCTCTAACTATTCTTAAGCTGCAAGGCAGCGCCATCTCTTCGCATTATAGGTAAACCACAATAATTATAAGACCCACATGCACAGTAGGGATCTAAGATTTCTAAAACATGTTCTATAAAATTAATACACTTAATTACAAAGTGCTCTGCGACTCTCACTAACATTTCTCAAGTGTCATTAAACATGTTCTGCATGTTACATAGATCATTGGTCGATTGAGTGCTCATGACATGAATGCAATCAATATTCATAGGACTTTAAATTTTAAATACTTGCAATAAGGTTTGGATTTGTTCAACACGTAGTTCTTTGATAACGGGTCTAAACTGGTATCAGTATCAGACCCTTTGCAGGTGCGCTAGAGTGGAAAGCGTTCATTTCTTCGACGCATATAGTACACTCAAGAGTGCATTGTGCTTGTAAACAATAGCCCTAAGAATGACCATAAACTAAGTCTCGATGCGTAACAAACAAGATGAAATAAATCCTGTTATGCAGTGTGCAACCACAAAATAGAGAATACAGAAGGTAATCTCATGTATGTTATTCATTTTTTATACCTACGTTCGTCAATCGCCCTAGGATTGTCAACTTAGTCTTGTACACAAAAAATAGTGGTAGAGATACTTGTACGTAGTTGTTTGTTTATTTATTCAGAAAACCAACAGCGTAACAAAAAAAAATTTTTACATACTTTCTAATACTAAGGCTAATAATAGGTTTTCTATGAAATTTACAATTGTACTAAGACGTGTGAAGACATGATCTATTGCATATTAGCTAATACTTATTTTATTGTGTATGATGGAGAACTAAGTACATAGTCCCTCATCACCAACTGCTCCCGGCGACCCAGTCTTTGTTAATAGAATGAATGTATTGTTGAGAATGAAACAGGAGGAAAGGAAATATAATAAAACAAGTTTCAACTGTATAGATGCACTGATTGATTTATTTATTGACGTTTCGCATCCTTTTCAGGATCATCATCAGTCTATTAATGTCCCCACTGCTGGGGCACAGGCCTTCGCTATGGATGGAATAGGGAGATTGGGCTATGACCCACCACGCGGGCCTAGTGCGGATTGGTGGGTGCTAACGACCGCAGATGCAGCCGAGACCAACGGCTTAACAAGCCTTCCGAAGCACAGAGGAGCTCGAGATAGTTTACTATCTCCTTTTGGTCACCCATCCAATGACCGACCACTGCGAAAGTTGTTTAACTTCAACGATCGCAGCCGAACGCGCTAACCAGTTGCGCCATCGAGCTCCTCAGCTCCTCCTCCTGAATTATCACATCCTGAAAAGGATGCGAAACGTTAATAAAGAAATTAATCAGTGCATCTATACCGTTGAAACTTGTTTTATTTAATGAGTGGTGTGCGTGAAAACCTACGAAACGAAAAGGAAATATAAACCAATGATAACTAAAGTATTTTAATGTTATTGTTATTTAAAAAAATCGTTTAATGTTGAATTCAAACAACCTTAATTGAACAGTTATAATAATTATTATTTTGTTTCTCCGTATTTGCACAAACAAGTTTACAGACACGTCTCACAAGCGAATGGAACTCGGGCTTGCACTCGTCCCAAGTGGTCCGAGATATCGTGTCCCTGAGCGGTGTCTATGCGTGCGTTGCTCGAGCGCACTTTGGATGTAGATTACCTTCTGTATTATATATTTGTAGTGCAAGTGCAACCGAGTTCCACCAGCCACGCCACACCTGCATTAGTCGGTGTAATGAGATTATTTATTCCCGATTCACGGAACACGGAAAGAGGTTAAAAGGGTAATCTTAGACCGGCAACCGATGTCGCCGGCTCGTCGAAGAAATGTCAATATGGCGGAGGGAAAACCACAGATTAATAAAAGAGCGGGAAACTACAGATAAAAAAAAACATTTGTGATTATGTACCGACACGCTATGATGGCCGTTTTGACGTTTTTGCGTTCATGAAGTTTCATATTCTAAATTCTACATTAGTCCTACATTTGAAGGAAATAATTATTGTTCTTCATTGTCATTAGAGAGGCGTATTTAGTCATAAAATTTACCGAATCGATAATTTTACGGTGTAGAATTTAAATTTTACATAACTATAAAATCATGGTCTACCTTATATTAAGATTATAAAAACCTTTTCAAGTTTAAACAATTAAATATAATATCATTTTTAACTCAAAAACACCGGCCCTTTGACAGAATCTTTAAAGGATTAAGTAGATTAATTTAAATAATTGTGTTATTCTTATTATCATTAAGAAATGTTATATCATACAAAAAAATATTTAATTATAGTATACTAATGTAATTATTCGCCACTTAACGCGGATGTTGTTGTTGTGTTGTTCGAAATTCAAAATGTAAAAACATGAAATTAATAAGATCCTTACTTAAAGGAGCGCTGAGCGTGAGTAAAAATGTATGTTTTCGTTTTATTCGATCTTTATAATTAACAACTTTTTGCAATATTATCTTATTACACATGTGATTCGTATTTGATTATATAGGATTTTTTTCGATAACAGATTGACTTTTCGCGTCTCTATTGCAATGTGTCAAAACGGTCATCATAATATATCGTGCCCCGACTAAGTATCAGTAATTTTAACTTATTCGTAGAGATGGGCGTTTTTTGATATTATTTAATCGATGCGCATCGATATCATAAATCGCAGTTGATGCGCGCATCGATGCCGGCATCGATATCGTAGTATCACAGGATGAGATGCGATATGAATTACGATACGTGGGTGTGTCTCTTCGATTTGATTTGATTGATGATTCATGATCATGACTTGAAAATGTAATTTGAACCATTTATTTGCTTTTCGGCATGGTAACTGAAAATATTGAATATTGGCAAAATTATTACCTAAAAGGCTGCACTCAGAGCGTAGGTTTTGAACGCAGTCCAGTGCCACTGTGAGTGTCACAAACTTTTCTGTGCCCGCGGCAAAAATTTGAACTACAATTTTTAGCTTTTGACATTTTTGTTCACCGCTAGCGACATCGCCACCGGCGCAGATAAGTTTGTAGCACTCTAGCTATAGTAACGTTGATAAAAACTAGATGACATCGGCATCCAATAACGGAACCCAGTCGCATCGGATGCATGCATCCAAACCTGGCATCGTTATCGCGCATCGTTATTCTAAAAACGCCCATCCCTACTAATTCGTATTTTTTTAAAGGCCATGGTTCAATGATTTGCCATTATGTAAATAAATATTTCCAACACTCACACCAATTAGCCTAGCCACAAGCTAAGCACTATAAGGCTTGTGTTATAGGATACTAGGGTAACGGATAGAATACATGTACTGTACATATATAAGTATATTTATATAGAAATAGATGTTAAACATCCATAACTGAAGTACAAATGCTCGTATTCATCACACAAACATCTGCCCCCACCGGGATTCAAACCCGAGACCTCTCGAGTCGGCGACACCATGAAACCCGGCGTACAAACCACTCGGCCAAAGAGGTCGTCATTAAAGTAAATTTTAATATAACTTTTCGCAAGTTTTTCTGCCATATCAACATTGAATGTTATCTAGAAAATACATAGCCATTATTGTGTCCATTCCATATCTACTGGACGTATCGTTTCACTACCATAATTGTCTTCAATTATAAACGGAGTCAAGGTGCTCGGTCGAGTGTCAGAGTGTCATATTAGGCATTAGGTCAATTAATTCTTTCACGTTGTACAATCGAAAAAGTTAGTTGTCTACGAACTTCTACTTTTAAGAGTCTCCCCTCTTAAAAGACAAGGGCAAGGCAATATTTTTTCCATACAAACCGTTCTCGACTTTTATTACCTCCTTGATTTTTATTTATAAATTATTTTAATACTAAAAATTTATATTTACTCATTGTATGATCCTATATCTTCCTTTTTCCATAGCTAGTGTTTTAAAGCAACTAGAAGCCCTCAAATATGCTAAAAATATTTTTTTTTTTTTCACCACTAAAGATATCTAATGTGGAGATTCATAAGTACATATTTGCAAAATAAGCAAAAAGTAGGGGCCCTATTATAACTACTTATTATTCCATGGGTAAGAATTCCTTTAGGTTTATTTTATCTAATTTTCGAGCAGGAAATCGTCAAGAGCCAAACCTCGAATTTTACAACTTGTATTATCCATTTTCAGCGTTAGCTACTGTTATCCTGATCGCACGGTATTTGCTAATGGGCGACAGCAATAGTTTTTTTTAAATGCAAAAGAAATGTATAACAATTTAAAAAGAAATAATCGTTTTATTTTACATATATATGTATGTGTTTTCATTTTTTTTAAAACCTATTTCTCAATTGTCTTTCAGCTCGCGTCCCCTCTTAAGTGATCGAGACTTCTAATGGTAGCTTATGTATGAGTATTTCATCTTATAGATTTATTCACACTTTGACTTCGCCGTAATCCCATAACGTGTTCAATGCAAGTCACTTCCTTCATTAAACATCTTCATTATCATTACTAACGATGAGATAACATAAAAAGGTTCTTGATTCTAAATGAGTTTGCTACCAAAGTGGAAAACCTCTCATACCGGTCTGGATTGGGTCAAAATGATATATTCATAACTCGCGTGACATAAACTTTTGCGAACAACATTTTAGGCGCAATCGATGCTAAATGTTGAGTCAGTCGGTGAAGAGTGTGTCAAGTCATAATACACATACACACAAAACTGCGGCTACAATAATTGTTTGTTAATGTTCGTAAAATATATTATACATTGAGCTCCCTTAAATCCTTTTCGCAGGAGTCTATGAAAACTTTCCACCTGCTTTTGAATGAGACGTCGCGGCGACTGCAGGCGCTGACCAAGCGTCTGGGGACGTGCGTGGACAAGTCCCGCCCGTACTACGACGCAGTGGCGGTGGCTGCCACCGCGCGGTCAGAGTGCCAGAAGGCTGCGGTACAGTTCCAGAGAGCTAGCGGTGAGTGTGTTCACAAAAGACCCCAAATCTTCCACCGTCACAAAAGACTCCAAACCTTCCACCTTGAATGAGACGTCACGGAGGCTGCATCCGCGGTCAAATACCGCCCGTACTACGACGCGGTGGCGGTGTCTGCCACCGCGCGGTTGGAGTACCAGAAGGCTGCGGTACAATTCCAGAGAGCTAACGGTGTGTCAGTTCTCAATAGTCTTAAAAGCGTTCCACAAGCTGTTGAATGAGATGTCGCGCAGGCTGAGGCCGCGTTCAAGTCCCGCCCGTACTACGACGCGGTGGCGGTGTCTGCCACCGCGCGGTCAGAGTGCCAGAAGGCTGCGGTACAATTCCGGAGACCTAGCGGTGAGTCAGCTCTTAATAGTCTTAAAAGCGTTCCACCATCTGTTGAATGAGTCGTCGCGCAGGCTGCAGCCGCGGTCAAGTCCCGACCGTACTGCGACGCGGTGGCTGCCACCGCGCGGTGCAATTCCAGAGAGCTAGCTGTAAGTCAGTTCTTAGGAGTCTTCAAACGTTCGACCTTCTGCTGAATAAAACGTCACGGCGACTGCAGGCGCTGACCAAGTGTCTGAGGGTGTGCGTGGACTAGTCCCGCCCGTAATACGACGCGGTAACGGAGGTTGCTACCGCGCGGTCATAGTGCCAGGAGGACGCGGTACAGTTCCAGAGAGCTAGCAGTGAATCAGTTCACAAGAATAGCCAAGACTTCAAACGTTCCACCTGCTCTTGAATAAAACGTCGCACAGGCTGCAGGCTCTCATCAAGCGTCTGGTGGCGTGCGAGGACAAGTCCCACCCATACAAAACAATAATAATAATAAAATAAATAAATATTTCCGACACACACCAATTAGCCTAGCCCCAAAGTAAGCACTATAAAAGGCTTGTGTAATGGGCAAGGGCGGATCCAGGGGGGGGATCCTGGGCTGAGTACAGATGGACCAAACCCAGGGGGATTTTATTTAAGTACTTTCAATATTTAATATACCACAACTATTTGACCCCCCCCTGGCGCCAAAGCTGGCTATATGACCCACCCCCTGGCGCCAAAGCTGGCTATAACCCCCCCCCTGGCGCCAAAGCTGGATCCGCCCTTGGTTATGGGATGCTAGGCTAACGGATAGAATACATATACTGTACATATATAAGTATATATATATATATATATATATATATATATATACATATTAAACATCCATGACTGGAGTGCAAATGCTCGTATTCATCACACAAACATCTGCCCCCACCGGGATTCGAATTCGGGACCTCTCGAGTCGGCGACAGCCATGAAACCCGGCGTACAAACCACTCGGCCATGGAGGTCGTCAAATGAACAATTCCAGAGACTACTAGCGGATTCTCGCACCACGCGCACGTGATCTGTGCTACGCGCGAGAATCGGTTTAAAAATGCGCGCGGGACTGCGGCGTAATACCCCGCCCGCGGAACGCCCCGTGCCTACTCGCTGATTGGCAAAATAAGCGCCTGTACACGCCACCGCGCGCTGACACGCTTGATTAGCGTGTGGTAAGTCGCGGGACTGCTATACGATCTGAGATACTTGCACACAACGTCAAAATCTGCGCTCTCACGCTAAGCGACGTTGCGCGCGGCAGTGGGTGAACCGCCTTAGTCGTGATTATAGGAATTTCTATAGTCAGAAGAAGATAGAAGTGAAAATTACATCCACTCTACTTGGACATGTCTCTATAAGATTTCAATGGTTAAAAATTGTAATGGTCGGTCTTTGAGAACACATTAGTAAAACAATTACAAATGCAATCATAAAACAGATAAGGAGTATATCTACTACAGTTCGTGTAAAATATTACAAACCACATTACACAAATGATAATTTTAATGTGTTTGTGTTTTTAAACAGAACAATTATTATGTACTTATGTAAATGAGGGCACCACTCAGAAAGTTCCTACTCTACCTACCTACCTATTCCACGATCTATAATATTTTTGACCGCAGGTCCTATTGGTTGTAAAAAACTTAAGTACGTTTTGAGTAATGTTAGCGTCTAGTATACTGAAGTTCATTACTATTTCGTCTAACCGAACATCAGACGCCGATATTATAATCGATTAATCTAGTTTAACAAATAACTTTAGCTAAGTCTTTGAAGTCTTCCATCATTCAAAGACGATTTATTATTCATCGCGAAACACTCCAATGTTATTGTGGCAACGCATGAAAGCCCCGTTCCGTGAACAATTCTAATCTCAGACTATTTTGAATAGCTTCTTCCTTCCTTCCTCGTCTGTAGTTTTCTTTTGTGTTTTTATGTAAACGTTTATATCTTTATTGCGATGATGGATGTGCCAAAAACTTGTGAGGGTTACCCTTGTGAGTTGCAGATCGATCAATAGTGATTCAAATTAATGAGTTCCTTTTGTTGTTCTGTTACAAACGTGTAGTTGTTAATAGGCTTGTGTCAACTAACAATAAATCGAATGGGTTACAGTTTCTAAATATGAATTATGATATACAGATAACAAAAAATAAAGCTATTTATCGTAATAATTAAAGATTATTATTATTTTTAGAAAATAAATTCGAATAAAATAGGCATTAGATCACGTGACGACAAACACCAATCAGAAAGACTGACGTCACCACGTGCAAAACATTACTTGTGGTTGCCGTTTCCATACATTTCATTGATTTCTCATTCATGTTATTGTTACTTTGATACAATTTATCAGTTTGTTTTCAGATAATTATTGAAAGGAAGGCTAATATATCCATGGAATTGGGATTTACCGAAGAAAATAATAATATTTTAACCAAAATAAAAAATTTATCGCATAACTACTCGACATAATTAAGCATATCATTTGGCAACTAGAACAAGAATAAGAAGTGTTTATTATTATGAATAAATATACTGAACTCGCAAATAGACTCTAAATCATACCATAAAATTAAATCAACTTACCTAACCTCAACCTATTGTCATTGTTTTATCAATATAATGCAATATAATTTATCCGGCTTGTATAACATTTTGATTTCATTGATTATGTTATGCAAAATACTTACATCAAAATTTTCATCACAAAATTATTCTTGTATTTGTTGATAAACAATGAATAGGTACCATCCCTCCTTGTAAGTTCTAACCATTTTTTCCGCATTTGTGGCATATAAATAATTTGTCTGGCGTTGTATGCTTCTCCTTTTATACTAGGGCACTATGCAGTACTTGTAATACGATGGATTCATTTTTAACTAAATAATTTTAATAGTCGGCGTACAGCGTATTGTTTGCTTTCCACGGCGTGACGTCATTCTAGACGCCATGACAGTCTAGAGCGTTTTCGAGGGAAATTTGAATAAGTTTTTTAAAATACAAAATACATATTGCTAATGTACTTTTTTATTTAAAATAATATTTTTTGGGGTTAAATAAACATCAAGGTATATTATTAACCACTATTTAAAATATAGGCAACTAGCCTATTATCATCGTCAGATTTAGCTAGATAACCATTGTGCTTCAACTTATATGAAAACCGAGCTTGTCATAACTTAAGAATACACTAATAAACACTAACTAAATTAGCTACAATTACACACCAGTGTCGAACACGATGACGCGAAGAAACAAAAAAGCGTTTTAAGGTGGACCTTTGGTCAGCCTTTTGGCATATACTGTGGCCTAACTGTGGCTACTATTCCTACACGAACAAATTAATTTGGTGACTCATTTAGTTGTCGTACTATTCGTAGTCACGGAGGAGCTCGAGATAGTAAAGTTTTTGTCACCCATCCAATGACCGACCACTGCGAAAGTTGCTTAACTTCAACGATCGCAGCCGAATGCGCTAACCACTTGCGCCATCGAGCTCCTCAAAAAAAATGTAGTATAACTACTTATTAAGGGTAATTTTTTTTTTTCATTTTATATCTAATATTCGAGGAGGATAATGTCGAGAACCAAACCGTGAATGCACTGACCAATTATGCTACCGCTGCCCTGATGGCCGTGTCGAATTCTTTCTAGCCTTTCTTAAGCTGGTAGGCTGTGGCCGGTAGAACTGATGTATCAGCTATCTTCGCGTCTAGACTTCACCTTCACTTAACATCAGGTGGGATGGAGTCAATTGTCGGACCTATCTATAAAAAAAACTGCAAGGCAGCGTCATCTCTTCCCATTGTAGGTAGATAACGATAACCTGTCATCCTACATTTATTATAATTCTTCTATGCCTCAATATCATGAGAAGAATACGTCTCTGGTCCAAATTATTTTAAAATTGCTGGATTTGAGTCTGAGAATGGCTTGACTCATCACGGAACTATTTCAATAAGGTACTGCACGAGCGTTCACACCTGTTTTTCTAAGGCCCATAGGGAGCGCCAATTGTACAAAGTCCGGAATTTATAACGCCAGTTTTTCAGTCTTAATTATAAATAAGTAATCATAACTAGTGTGACACGGGTGTGTCTCCGGTTCGTTGATTAACAACACGCGCATTGCTTCAATTGGACATAATTAGTGAACCCTTTGAAAATTGTGTTTTAAATATCCCGGCCAGGGACACAGGCATTCCTGGCAGACACCCTGAGAAAACCGGGAAGACCGATCTGCTCCTGGAGGGAGGCGGGGTGTCAGGAATAAGGGGGCGTCCATAAATTACGTGAGATGTTCGATGGTCGAGTCAAATCTCATCTAATCTTACGTTGGAGAGGGTGGGGGGGGGGGGGGGGGGTGTCTCAGCAAATATCACGCAATTTTTTTTCACAGTAGTATCTATTAAGTATTCTATTGTTAAATTTTTATTACACTTATAACTCTCAGCAGTATTGATTACTAGTCTTTACTAGTCGTAAATAAAAGCACGAAGCATTTTTTTTTCTTCTTACAATAACAATCCAACGCGTTTACGAAAGAAACCCACATTTTGAAAAATCTCACGTGAGTATGGGGGATAGGGAAAGGGGTTGATAAAATCTCACGACATCTCACCAGGGGGG